TGTCACATGCCTTCTGTACCTACAAATTATTCTCTTCCTGCTTCACAGGTCCATATACCTCCAGATACCTGGACACCTGTAGAGACTTGTAGATACCAGGCACCACTGTTGCCTTAGTTCAAACGCAATATCCACAGGAGTGAATTTCTGTAGTGGACACTGGTACTTAACAGCTTACCAAGGTAATGAAAGGTAATGACAGGCTGGAGGTAATGTCCCACCTACTTGAAGGAAGAAGAAGATGGTTGCTTTTGCAGCAGTTGCTAAACAGATGATTCAAAACCACTGGCCAGACACTCAGGGATCTATGGTTTGGATAGGGTTTTTCCCTGCCAAGTCACTATGTGACTTCTCTCACATGTGCTTCCACCCTATGTTCCTATCCGCCATGTTGTGGTACAATCAAGGGTCCCTCACTGGATACCTATACCATGCTGTTTGAACTTTTCAGCCACCGAACCCTCTTTTGTTTATATATTACCTGATATTAGGCAATCTGTTATAGCAATGTAAAACAGACTTAGACAGTCACCCATATCTGGGCATTTTTTTTCTCTTCCCAAAATGGCACATCTCTAGGACCACCTCCTACCACAAAGAATGAAACCTGTTAATCTTTCAAATTTGCTTATGAGAGCCCAAAGATTAATTTGAACTTTCCAAGTTTAGGCTATTACTTTGAAATAGAAAAGGGGGGAAAAAAGATTCGCAAACAGGAATTACTGTGGATAGACTTTTTAAAAACTATATAAACTTAAAAAAAAAAACCTTCTAATACCTCAATCTGTTTTATTTATGTTACCCATCACATCATGAACAGAGAAATAACAATAGAAGATATGGTTGCTCTCTTCATCTGATAGGGCCTGGGCCTTCAGGATTCAGATGGACCAAAAAGGTGGAACACAATCTCATGCAAAATAATAACCTCACATACCTTCATTCCTGAAGGCTGAAATGCATGTATTGGCCATTTTGATATTTTACTCCTTTGAAATATAGCAAAATTGGCAATTTGCATCGAACTACTCAGTAAATATTTTGAACTTATTTAAGATATCTTTTACATCTTAGGTAAAAATAGTCCAAACCGGCTTATATGTTAAAAATAATAATGATTTGAGAGACCCACAGAGAGAGAATAAGTTATGCCTTTATTTCTATTTTTTATGTCATAAATACCTTCATATACTTCCACAGAATGTAATTTTAAAATGTGCTTCCTTTCAAAATCATTTATTAAGCTTACCAGATGAGCATCTATGTATTCAGGGCTACCTCTAAAACGACTCTCTTTTCTAGCTTATTTATCACAGCTTAGGAATGTGCTATCAAAATTTTTGCACATTTTGAACTCATAATAAGGTTGCTATTTCCACGGTAAATTATGTAAACACAGGTTTCTGAAAAGTATCCTTCTTAAAACCATTAGTACCTGTGCTGCTGGTAAATGTAATCACAAAATACATTTAAAGAAGTATACTTTTATCACTTTGAGTATTTGGAGGGGTCTATAGAATTGTTTTGGTAATTCTTGGGGGGAAATTCTTCAATAGATAAAGAGTCATAACTGGTTCATCAAGTGCTTACTGGCTGTACTAGCTGTTTTTCTCCCTATTTTTAAGCAATTCCTTTGTGATATAGTTGAAAATCTAATTTTCCTGGAAATTGATTTTATTTATTTATTAATTGAAAAGTCAAAATTGCATATACTTGTGGTACACAACATGATGTTTTGGTATACAGTCATTCACTTCATAAAAAAAATGGGCCACATGTAAAATGGTGGCTCCAATACAATTATATCACCCTAGCCATTTTAGCTTGTATAAATATACCCCATGATGTCTGCACAACCATGAAACTGCCTAACTACACCTCTCAGAATGTGCCTCCGTCCTGAAGCTGCACATGACAGTAGGTATACACTGTGGAGTGGCTAAGTCAAGCCACTTAACATCCACAATACCTCACTACCTCTTTTCTTCTCTGGTGAGATGGGAAGATCTTTCTATAGCCTTTTTTTTTTTTTTTTTTTTTTTTGTTCAGACTCTACTGAAATCATCACTAACGCCGATTTGGAGAAGGGTGAATTACTGAGGCTCTATTTTATTTGTAAGAGGTGAAGCTCGGGGTCCTCAATGGCTCCCTCTCCTGAGTGACAGTAACTGTGATTTAATAAAACTCCCTACCAGTGATTATCAAATGAGGCAACCTTTAGCAGAGGGCAGCTCTGAAAACCCATCTTTATGGTCTCTGAAATTTTAATATATTTTAAGCCTGCAGGATGAAAGGCAAATGGACAACTAAATGTGTGTTTCAAGGTGACATGACAGTGAGTCCTTGTTCTCCACTTAGGAACTGAACCTTCCAGAAGGTGTGGGAAGGACCTGCTAAACAAATCCCCCACCCAACCTCTAAATAGTGCTGACTCCTGACAACTTTCATTTTTCCACTGTGGCTAGCTCTAGTCTGGTTCATTTCATCATCAATGCTTTGGGAATCTTGTGCTGTCACCAAAAATCATGCACATGAATTCTCCACCACGCCTCTGCAAATTAAACAAAATGGGCTTTCAGTATGCCTCAAATGCCAAGGCTCTATGTGATTGATTTCCCAACGGCTCTTAGGGCTGGGACTAAACATGACAGAGAGAGCCACAGTAGCACAATGTTTTGGACAGGGGGAAATCCACTTAGGTTTCTAGCACAGTGCAGGCCCTACGGAAGCCATTCTGTAAATCTGTGTAGAGCAAGGTACACGTGGAAGAATTTGTCCCACTCTGCCTTTCTCTAAAGGAGAATGCTATTCAAGAAACACTTCGAAGCAAGGATCAGGCTCATCCCTAGCCATGCCTCAGTCACCCTGTGCTTCCTCAGATAGGGGAAAACTATTAGGATCAAAGAGTTCCATTATAAGGCCCAGTGAATTACAACATGCCACAGGCATATTTATCTACAAAAATCTATAAACATAGTTGCCACAAATATATTTGTCTCTGAAACTCACTACAAGGTAGATATAGCCAAGACAGAGATCTCTCCACCCAGGTGGAAGGGCTCACACCCTCTGCTTAGTCTAGCAATAATTAGAGCCCTTTAGGCAGACATGGGCCCATAAGGACAAGGCCTGAGAGAAACCAAGTAGTCTCTAGGGAAGGAAATATTGTCCCTGACACTTCCAGTGATGTGCTGATGTCCTGCCACTAGCTGATAGGCTTCGAACTCTAATAAGATGGTTATCGTTTTTCACAGGCTGCTAGTTTTTGTGAGTTTCTGGTTGGGCTGACATTAAGTTATCAAGACAATGAAACTTAACCAACAAATCAGTATCACCTCTTGGCAGGTTGTCAGCGCTACTCAAGATGTGGATGTAAGCTGAACTCGTCCATGCCACCCGGGAGATTGTTAAAAATTCAAATTCTCAGACCCCACTCCAGATTTACTGAATCAGTGTCTCTGGTTTGAAACCCTGCCAGGTGATCCTGATGTATGCAACATTTCAGCATTTGTTCACCCATCCTTCCTCTTTTATAGTACCAAGATCCTCAATTCAGAGATGTGTTGTCCACGTTCCCAGTAAGTACCACATTTCCTTGCCTTCTCTTCAACAAAGGGAGGTCAAGGATATGCATGTGGAGAGCAGTTTTCATACAGACTGGCTCAGCTGAGGGGTGTCGCCCCTTGGTTCCTTGCCCTGCCTTCGGCTTCCTGCTTGAATTGTGGGTGTGAACAGCCGTCCCAGCCCATGAGGCTGCCTCAATGAAAGATCAAAAAGTCTGAAGGTAAAATGAGTGTATTCCCAACGATAAGCTCACAGGGCAACCATAACAGCCATGGCTGTCTTTTTTCCAAGTTCCCTTCACGTGAGAGAAACAAACTAACTTATTATGAACTTACTATAAATTAGCTTATTGGGGTTTTCAGTTAATTAATTAATTTTGAGTTAATTCTTACAAATCCCAACTATTACATCAGTCTTATCTCAGTACAAATCTGTCTAGAAAAACCAGATGTGCAGGTAGAAACGCCTTCCCAGGGCTACTGGAAGACTCACCTCCAATGTCCTGCATGCATTCCTGGCCTCTCTTCTTTCTTCCCTGACAAATTTTCTGCAAAATCCATTCCATAAAAACTGATTAAATCAATAGGAAATGAACAAATGCACTGTTTCCCTTACCTTCCCTTATCAAGATAAGAAACTGGCACATTCCTTCAGGAAAAGTGCCGGGAGAGGAGCCAGATTCAGAAGCCCACAGCTGTATGGCAGGGCAGTAGGAATCCCCTTGCAAAAAAGAGGTGCATCCTGCCAGCTATACAGTCCCTGAACTTTGTGTTAAGACATATTTAATACCCATCGTGCCTGCTCACTGTAAGTAGAATAAATCAGAGGGAAGGAATTGTGACCAGCGTTTTTACCCTAACCTCAGGCCATAGCAAGAGATGGGCACAGGAGTATTTGCGAAGAGAGTGAATAAGTGAGTGAAAGAAGGAAGGAATGGCTAAGAAGATGGATAAATACTAACCTTTTCATGTTTACACTGATCCTTCACATCTTCTACCTTAAACAGCCCAGTGGATAGTCAACAATGGTCTCAGGAGTGGAGGGTAAGTGTTGGTCACATTGTCTCACTATAAAAAAAACTGTGGGAGGCTCTATAGTGAGACATCGGTGACTGGGGGGATTAGTTCAGAAACTAAGCAAGCAGCAGCATAGGACCTTGTAGCCCACTACTAGCCCACATCACATGTGGCCCCAGTGTCTCCATTTCACCTCTCAAGTTCCCTATGCACAAATAAGAAAATGATTCAGCTAATTTAGGAGTACAGAAAAGACCTTAGTGCCTGGAAACAATCTCTAACCCCAGTTCTTAAAGATTTTATTAGTTATTTTTATTATTTTTTTTCATGAAGTAACATATACCAGGGAACTCTGGGAGTGGAGTTATTTATTACATGACCTCAAGGTAAGACGCTACAAACTTCACATATAGGCACACCTCTTTCACTAATTATTTTTAATAAAACAAAAGATCAAAAATCAACATCAGGAGATGTCACAATACAGTTGAGACTGTTAAAAGAAACTACTCCCAAACTGGGCATCATTAAATGCATCACGAACCATGAAGGGATTTGCTCAATGAAAGAACACATCGTCCCTCTGCCCCTCCGTGGATGCTGTCAGGAGTTTCTCAGGGTAAAACACAAAATGAAAAAGAAATGGATGGTCAGGAAAGCTGTGCATTATCCCCCAAGGTCCTGCCACGGAGACTATTTTTAAAGACACATTAATCTCAGCAGTACTGACAGCTTGTGAGAAGTGGCCAGGTCCCAGTGCCAGGCAAACTCTCCAGGGGGAAAGCCTTCACCAATGCCCACATGATGGATGGAATGGGAGTCGCACTTGGTTGGTTAGGTAGTTGGTTTAAGGAGCCATAAAGATAATTCTGAAGTTGAGTCCAGGAAACCAACTGGAGTTAACCCATGAATTATTGCAGCCACCCTGCACTCAAAAGTTAATCATAATTTAAATTTACAAGAACCATCTTAACTAGAAAAGCAAGCTCTGTCTTGTACATTTCTTAAGTGGTTGCTGCTCATTCAATTGTACTAGCCATTGAAGAACAATGTTACAAGGGATGTGGTAATCCTGGATCTATGCAATTCTCTTTTATGATCCTAGCCACTGTATTTCATATCACAAGAATACAGAAAGTATATTACAGCTATATTACATAGAGTCTGTCATTATTGACTTAGCATTACGTTAGTTAACTCCTATAAAACACTGAGAGAAATGTTAATACATGATGGTATATTTACATATACATATGTACAGTTAGGGGGTTTGGGATGTCAAATCAGACTTGGTCTTCCTTACCCTGACACACACACAAAGGTGGAGTAAATAAAGAGGTGGGGATACGAGAAGCAGAGTAAACATTTTAACCATTAAAACTGATCTCAAATTGAAGGTGGAAAGGTGTCATAAAATTTACTCCTTCCCCCTGTTGACCTGTTAATGGAGAGAATTTCAGAAAGATGACCTGAAGCTAGGGAAGGATGTAAGCATTTTTGGAAGAAACATTCAACACCATTATCATTCTGTATTAATTTTTGGAGCTTTCTGATAGGCAAAGTGAAGCCCTTTGCAGCAAATCAGAGAACTAGTTCTTGCAGATTGCCACTCACCCAGCCTGGGCACATTCACCTTCAGTGGTAGGAACTCCCTATGGGGCTCACTGCCGCTTTTGCTGCTAGGCAATTCTGACTATTAAAACAAAATTATTCCTTTTTCTTGGAGGCAGGTCTTCAGTCTATTGCTGACCTTTGCCAGAGGGGTTTGTCCTGGGTTCCTCACCTCACCCACTCTCTTCTTATGTCCCAAACTGGAATTTCGTCTTAGAGTACTGAAGGAAAATACATCGGACTCCACTATATTCCCTGACTGCCAGGCTAGTGGCCTGTGTTTCAAAAGCCTCAAACTAGAACATGTAGTATGTCTCATGGGACCTGATCACTGTAACAAATATGGATCCTGTTTTACTGCTAAGCAAACAGAAAGAATTCACACTTGGGAGAACTGTGGCTATGTTTCCTTATCCCTGAACTCCCCATGTTATTTGATTCTTGCCTATAAAGGAAGTGCCAGAGGCCAAGGAAAACATCTTATGTTGTTTCTGGTTGAAAAGCCAAGTCAAAGACCAGTACTGAAGATGGTAAGCTTCAGCTTCACAGGTCATCTGTGTAGAAGAGAAATGTAACCTCTCTACCCACAGGAAGAAAAGTGCCTGGACTAAATGAAACCCCACTTAATTTGCTAAGTGCATCCTCTGAACAGCAGGTTAAATGGCTATAAGAAATTGTGCTTGCATTTTATTTGATTGCACCCAATTTCCTGGGACCTCAAACACCAAGTTCTCCCAAAATATGGCTAAAATGCTGGCAATATTTGCAAATAAACCCAAAGACAGTTATATACAAACTTAGTTTACAGAATACTCATCCTGTTAAGTTTCTTCAAATAGCAAAACAGCAATAAATGTCATTCTTAAATGTATCACCTAGTCATCATGGAAAGCTGAGGACGCTTAGCAAAGTCGATCTCTATAGATAGTGATTAAATATTTAGTTTTGTATATCAGAGTATCTTCAATGCTATTGTGCCAATTTTCAAATGGAAAATATGTTCGGTGATACCTTTGAATGTAAAAATATGTGATCTCCCTAACTTCTAGGCAAGTTAATTCATTAGGTCATTGATCTCCTGGAAGCTTTATGTTTCTCAATCTCAAATTCATTTTGAAATGCAAATAAGTTCTTGCACCTCGCTTAGGGAAATGCACAGTCTTTGCTTAGGTATGTACTCACTGAAGGGTCCTCCCTCTACCTTGAGCTGGGGAAACCTGAGGCCAAGTACACAGCTCTGGGATCCTAAGAGTGGCTCAGGGCACCCCAAATCAGTCACCTGAGTAACAAACATATTGACAACTGAAGTGGGTCCTAAACTAGGGATCTCAAAATCAACTTCTCCTGCGCTATCCAAGGTGTCCTGTGGACAATGACAGGTAGGAGATGTGGCTGCATTTTAGTGTCCTGGACAAGATTCTTTTGATCTCTCCTTTCCCCATAGGTTGTTCACATCAGGACCTGTTCTCGAGTCTCTGGCAATCGGAGGGCAATCAGGCCACCCCCAACCAGAGAAGCAGCAGCCAGAAGGATTGGGACCACTTTGGTTATCCCAACAAAAGAAGCAAAGATGGTGTTTCCCAGGATGGCGCCAAATCTGCATAATCCATTGAGGATGCCAAAGGCTGTTGCCCTGCAAAAGAAAAGGAAAGGAAAGAATTCTGAAATTCTGGACCTTTTTAGATAAATGAGACAGGGTTCTTTTTCTTGAGTGGGGGGGGGTGACGGGGGCAGTTTTTTCCTAAATATAAAATTAGCACATTCTCATTTAATCAAATTTGGAAATACAGAATATAAAGATACAAGGATATTTAAGGCAATCACAATGATTAATGTTCTGAATTATTGCCTTCAAGTTTTTTTCCTTCTCTTTTCAAATATATCTGTTCTTAAAATACTTACAGTTAGTACTTGCTTGTTACAAAAATAAGAAAGACATATGCAAAACAGAAAGTGTAATGTTCCCCCTCAGTAACACCTCCTTGTGGCAGACTGCTAGTTGTCCCTCCATATAGTTCTTCAAATGTAAGACTACATTTCCCAGAATCCCTTGGTGCTGACTGTAGTCATGTGACTAAGTTCTAGCCAATGGGTTGTAAATACAAATGGCACCTACTAAGAAACTTCCTTAAGAAAGCTCGTGATGAGGCTTTCTGCTTTCTTCTTTGTCTTGTTTCCTTCTATCCTACTTCCTAAAACATAAATGGTCTCATCGTAGACCATGATTAAGTCTAGACAAGGAAGAACAACATAGAAAGAGCCTAAACTGCCTCCTGTAGTTTTCTACAAAAGAAAAAAATGAAATGCCTACCTCCTCGGAAAGCCATGAAGTTTTGGGGTTTATCACCTAATCCTAGTTACTGTCCCTCAGTCACACTTCCAAATGATAACTATTATTCACCATTTATCCTGCCATGACCTCATCTATACACAGACATAATGTTCCCAACACCACTGCTCCCCAACTGAAGTAAAATATTTTTATACCAGAATTTAAGAATGTGGTTATATTTTTGTACTCACAATTCCTTTTTATATTTATCTATAATTGAAAAACTCTTTACCTTTATAATCACTATCACCTAATCCCAGTCTTTTTGTTTTCAGCATTTTCCTGTATATTTATTTTCACATGTGCTTTTCTAAATAAAATTCAGAATATTTTTTTTCAAGATCCCAGAGGAAATAAATCTCATTGAATTCTGAAATACTCTCATAAGTTAGAGAAAAACTAAATAAAATTTGACATTTTCATGAGATTAAATCATCTTATACATAATGAGTTATATCTTGACATTTATTTAAGTCTCCTTTTACCTCTTTGTAAGTTTTACGGTTATTATAGTTTTATTCCTATGAGTGTTTCAAATTGATTTCTAGGTGTTTTATTACAAATGGACTTCAATTCCTTTTTATCTTTTAATTTATTTTATTTTATTTATTTACTTATTTATTTATTTGGTACTGGGGATTATAAACCCCAGTACTTTAACCACTGAGTTATATCCCCAGCCCTTATTTATTTATTTATTTATTGAGATGGTCTCACTAAGTTGCTGAGGTTCTTACTGGCCTTGAACTTGCCACCCTCCAGCCTTAGTCTCCCAACTTGCTGAGATTACAGGTGAGCCACCACACTCAGGTTTTGATACATTTTAAAACCTGTAAGCCATTAAAGTAGTTTTATTGCTGATCACCTGACCAGTATTACTTTCTGGTTTCTAGTTGTTTCTCTTCAGTCTCCTAGATATAAAATTACATCCCATTCAAATAACAATCAATTTTTTTCTTCTTCTTCTTTTTTTTTTTTTTTTTTTGGAGGAGGGGACTTAGTGTAGCTACCCAAATCCCATCTTCTCTGTCACTAATTTGGGGACTATTATTAAGGTTTTTTTGTTTTGTTTGTTTGGTTGGTTTGTTTTGTTTGTTTTGTTTTGTTTTTAGAAATCCATTTACCCACCTTCCACACTCCTTCACATTCTTTTTTGGCCACAGGACCACTTATCTTCACCTTAAAATTCACAGTTCCCCCTCCACGTGGAGAAACAACTACCAAGTAATGGCCTGTGCCTTTAAACTAGGCCTTTTCCCATGTGGCTTGTACAAAATAAAAGTAAACCCTGGGCTTCTCTGACATATTCTCTGCAAATGCCCTGGAACTTCATCCTTCATCCCCACCTTTATTTCACTCCCCAGCCCCACCCCCACCCTTGGTTTTCTAGTTCACCTTTTCCCTTTATCTCCTGTGGGCAGGCTTGTTCTCACCTCCCTTGAGGATTGCATGACACAGGTTTTGCTAATTGTTCAATATTAATCCTCTGCCTAGATGTAGCTAGATCTTGTCTTTTACCTTTTGACCACCCACCCCTTCCTATCGAGCCACAGACTGCCCACTTCAGGGCCTTGCCAACCCCTATGCAGAGAAACTCAATAACCTAGAATATATTTGGTGCATGGAGCACAAGAAAGACCAAGATGGCCAGGCACTTTGCAAGATTTAGTGGGCAGGTGAACTTCTAGCTAAAGAAGTCCAACAAGTCCAAAGGAAATCCCAGGAAGAACTGACCTCTGGTTGGTGGGATACAGCTCCACTGTAATCACATCCAGAGCATTCCAGGCCGCAATGCTGGTCCCGCAGAACAGGCATTGCCAGCCAATCATTGCAGACTCACTATTGCCAAAAAACAGGAAGAAGCAGCAGACTGCTGAGATTAGCATGGAGCCACCTGAGGAGAGAGGTCAAGAGCGGAAAGAAACATGAAACTTCATGGCTCAAACAAGACTGTCACCCACAGGTTCTGTCCTGTCTCCCATCTTCACAGGCACACCTAATGGGACAAGTTACCTGAAGTATTAGGTCCATCCTCCACATGGAGAGAATATAGCCTGAATCCCCCTCCATGGTACCCCAGCCATGGGATCAGAGGCTTCTGCATGGGTCACCAGAGTTTACCTCCAGGAAAGATTTTGAAATTGCCACTCTATGGTACTGTTCAGTCCAAAAGAGTTGGGGGTGGTGGAGATGGAGGTATTTGTTGAGAATATACTAAGTGCCAGACACTGTTCAAGGTGCTTGAGAGACATAAAGATCAGTTTAAAAAAAGGAAAAAAAAAAAGCTCCACTCTGAATTTGCAATCAATATGTCAAACAGACACCTGCCCACGTTCTCACAGCTCTATTTACAATAGAAAAGATACAGAATCCATCTAAATACCCATCAACAGATGAGTGGATAATACATATACATAATGCATATGCATCATGGAGTATCATTCAGCCCTTTAAAGGAGAGGAAAACCCTGTCATTTACAGCAATACAGATGGAACTGGAGGCCATAACGTTGAGTGAAATAACACAGGAAGACAAATACCACAGGATCTCACTCATATGTGGAACCTAAAAAAGTGGAACTCAGAAAGTAGCACAGTGGTTACCAGGTGCTTGGGAGTGAGGATGTATCAGGATGATGCTGGTCCAAGGATACGAATTCAGTTAGAAGAATAAACTTCAGAGATGTATTGTACAGTACAGTGATGATATTGATGCTAACATATCATATTCCTCAGAATCACTGAAAATAAATTTCAAATGTTTCTCCACAAAAAAAATAATAAGTATGGGTGGTGAGGAGGTCAACGCACTTGACTTAAGCCTGCCACATTGTGTATGTATAGCAGAGAATCACTTTGTAGCTCATAGATATATACAATTTAAATGTGTCAATTAAAATCATTTTAATTTTTTAATTGAAAAAATGTTTTTTAAATAAATTCAAATTTAAAATAAACTTCAACAACAAAAAAATATTCTCATGCATCTTACATTCCTGTGGGAACGGGCTACCAAAAGGGAACCTCAGGAAAGGCTGACCTGCTTCCTTTTCCCTCCCATCTCCTCTCCACCCCAAGATCCCTCTGCTTTCTCTGCTCCAGGGTGACTGATGGACATCATTGTCACCTGGGAGGAGAGAGAGGTTGGAGCATTGTTCCTCAACTCCCATTCTGTTTTAGAAACCCCCCACTTTTGTTATTTTTGTTTGGTTGGTTGGTTGGTTGGTGGTCAGTGGCCTCACCTCTCAGGACCACAGCTCCTGCCAGGTGGCTCTTCCTCCAGGCCTCCAGCCCCCTAGGTTCTATGAGGGTGATTTCTCCCCTTGTCCCTGCTGCCACCGGGTTGCCTACCTGCCTCATTTGTTCTGAAAACCCCACAACATTTCTCAAGCCACCCATCAATACAGTCTCTTCCTCGAAACCAGTGGGGATGGATCTCTTCAGCCAGGACTCGAGCTGATGGAGCTAATGATGAGAGATCTACTCAAAATAAGACCGGGCCAGATGCGGTGGGTCCACCCTGGGAGCTCGGGAAGCCCAGGTGGGGGCAGGGCGAGGCAGGACAGGTTGCAGCCCAGGAGTAGAGCTGGAGAGGAGGCAGGAAAGCAGATCCCAGACAGCCAGTGGGAAAGCAGGCTTCATTTCCCAGCAGCCATCGGGCTGAAGAGAAAGACAGGCTTTGGCTGCCAAGAACCCAGAGGCCTGGCCTCAGACCCAGGGCTGCAAGGCTAGTACCACGGCTTGCTGATGAGCTGGGAGATGCTAACTGTCCACCTGGATGCTGCAGACCCTGGGAAGGTAGGTCTGAAAGTAGGTGTCCGTGGTCTCTTTCCCAATTGCTAGGAGAGAACTAGAAGGGGAGGAGACGGGCACCCACGGACCACAAGTGCCATGAGAACAGTGCCCTCTACACACAGCAGCCCTCAAAGAAACCATGTTAGTTGTTCCTGCTGTAGGTCCCTATAGCCCACAGTCCTCCCACTTTCTAATTTATTCCCCTGTATTTAAGAGGTTTGAGATCCAATTCTAGCTTCACCACTTCGAAACCTGTGTGACCCTGAATGAGTCACTTAACCTCTCTGTGCTGTCTCATTTCTCCATCTGTAAAATGTACATTAAAGTAGTGCCTGCCTCCAAGGGTTATGACAAGGGCTTGATGTGTTAATAATGATAATATACTTGGAACACAGCCTGACCTATAACAAGCATTTCATAGTGTTAGTGAAATGAAATTTCTAGCTCATGTCTGTCTCTCCCAATCTATCATTTGCTCTTTAAGCACGGAGATATTGACTATCTCCATTACCATTCCAGTCTCATTGCTTCCCACACAGCCTGGCAGAGAATAAGTACTGCATAAATAAATGTTTACTGAGTGAATGAGTGGGTAACAGCCTCATTAGGAAAACTTCTCTCCTCTGCTATTCACAAGAAGCAACTTCCACCCTGCCAAGAGCCCCAGAGAGTCAGCAGGACAGAGCAGCTCTGCATATTCTATGGGGGGCTTGGTCTGGGGGGCATGGGAAATGCTGTTTCAAAGCAGCTCACCATGTCCCATCGTGACACTGTGGAATGGGTACCTACTGAGCACCCAGAATCCACTGCGCACTGACCCCTGGGAGTCCGGCTTCTTCCTAAAGACTCAGGGTACAGAGACCTCTAGAGGAGGCACTGCCCGAGCTCCAAATGAGCTTGCAATCCAGCTCAGAAACAAAATTCTCATAGGAGTCGAATATGGAGAAATTCTAAATGGTAGTTCTAGATCTCTAACTTGGGAGCCCAAGTATGACCTGGGATGATAAGAAGGGGCTTCGATGGCATGGAGAAGGTTATCAGCTGTCCTGCTGCCCAGCCTGTCCCCTGAGCCCAGCCTTCCTCCTGCATCCATGGAGAGCAGGACCCACCCCACCTTGCAGTCCCTGCAGTCCCTGCCTTCCCCAGACCTTCCCCAGCTACTTCAAGACCTGGCCAACAGGCTCAGACTCTGGACTCAAGTCCAGCCATCAAGTGGCAGAAGTGTCACATGCCTGCTCTCATGATCTCATTGGAGCAGAGAGATGATTTTAGCAATTATGAAAATGAAGCTTGGGATGGTAAAAGAATGTCTACAGACTCATAAAGCTAATTTTGAAAGAGATAGCCACCTGGCGCTGACACGATGCCACCCTGTGGTACCCTCTGCTGAGAGCAAGGTGCCTCTGGAGAATGCAGGAAAGGGGCCTCCCTCATTGACACGTGACTAAGTGTCAACTCGCGGCAGGTGCTTGCCAGGCATGGGGGTTTCAGAAATGAGTAGGTCCCTGTCCCTTCCCTCAGGGGTATCAGAACTGACCAGGGCACAGCCTGTAGCAGGGACAGCTCAGGGTCTCACATCTGTGAGACGACTCTGCAGCCTGCCCATAAGACTAAAAGCTTGAAGTCACGGGCACTTCTTATGCTCACCATTCGGAATATTCATGCTGCTCTTTGTCATAATAATATTCCACATGAGTGGAACGCCAGGAAAAGATTGTCTTCTCATGAACACCTGACCCATTTTCTCCGATATAATGACTAGGTGATTTATTTTTGTTTCCCTTTGAGTTTTGGTACTAGGAATCTAGGTATTAATTTTCCTGACCAACTGTATCCCGAGGGCAGATCCTTAATGGCATTTTTATTAATGGGTCTCCTGCCACCCCAGCCCTGGGATGTAAGATGTATTCTAATGTACATTTTCCGCGGTCCTCGATGTGTACTTTTTGTTTCTGGCTCACCATGCATGCCATTATACTGCTGTAACACACAGCTGCAAATCCTGGTGGAACTGAGGGGTGTGTGTGTATATAGCTACCATTTGTGGGAGCCTCCCATGTGCCAAACGTAGCACATGCTTGGGACATGTTATGTTCAACCCTCATCATCCCAACAGCTATCTACAGGTACCTCATCTTATAAATAAGAAACTGAAACCCAGAGAAGTAAAAGACTGTTCTCACATCTAACAGTCTCGGGGTGCTCAGATTTCAACATGAGTCTGTCCAACTCCAAAGCCCCATCATTATAGTTAAACAACAAAAGTAATCTGATTTATGTTAAATCATCAAGCTATCATTTAAGAGCATTTTGCATGTTTGTTTAAAATCCCCTTATGACCCAGGAAGGGCAGATATATTTCATATTCATTTTGAACGCTAATAGAATGAGTGAGGGCCACAGAATCTCTCAGCCTGAAAATGAAAGGGAGTCCTTCTCCTGTGCTAGAGCTCTCAGACTCCTTCCCCAGGACCCTGGGCTTCTGCAGATGCACCTCCTCGGTTCAACTTCACCAGATTCAGTCTTACCTGCTTGGTTTCCTGGGCAAGCTTTCTTTAATTTAAATAAATACCCCATGGTCCTAGGATGCTTGAAAGCCACTGACTGGCCCAGTCCAGCGGAGTCCAGATGGGACACCCTAACAACTCACCGATCATCTTGAGCCTTCCGATTCTATCCATGAGCAGGGCAGAAATGATGTTCCCAGGCAAGACAGAGAGGCTGCCAAGGAAGCTGACGAGGTAAATCAGGAAGTCGTTGTCTTCTTCAAAGTCCATGTGGCAGCCCTCCTTCTGCTCCAGGAAGGTGGAGTTGATAAACCGGCAGTTGATGAACTTATGCTTGTAGAGGTCTGTAAAGAGAGAGAAACCTTTGGCTCTTGAGAGTGTAGAGGAGCTGGAGAGAGGGGAAGAGAGGCAGAGAGGAAGCTCTGCCCCTTCCGTGAGCAGGCTGGGACCTCAGAGTCAAGGTGATGTGTACCAGGTGTGGATGAAGAGAGGCTTTACACTGAATTGACTTTCAGACATTCAATGACCTGTTCTAATCACCACGAGGAGAAATAAAACCAACGTTAATCGGAGGAACATTTTAAAATGAATCATCTCCCCAGCTGGATAACAGTCCAGTTTATACCAACTGGGTGACTCTGAGGGTCACAGAGGCTGGCCCATTCCTCTGAGGCTACCCGACTTAGGCAAGCAAAACACAAGAGAGTTGGGTCCGTATGGAACCATCCACTCCAGAGCTCCTGCTGTAGTCTGTGCAGAGACTTCATGTTCTTCAAAATAAAAACCGTTTCCTTTGGAAACAATTCACATATCTTCTGACACCTTCAAAGACAAGCTGTCCTAACAGAAAGAGAGTTAGATCGGCTCCCTGGACACCTGGATTTAAGGAGCCAGCCCTGCCACTAAACCCCTGCAACCTCCCTAAACCTGTACTTATAAAATTGGATTATCCCCAGTGCTTCTCCCAGCTCTGACATTTTCTGACTACAAGTGTTTGCAAAAACCCCTGCATTAAGAGTATTTGAATGAAAAAGCATCATTAAAACATGAAAGAATAAAAGGGCATGCACAGTTTAATGATAAATAGTAAATTTCTGGAACTCATTGTTTTAAGTTCAGACTAACAGGAAATTCAGAAAGTAAGTCTCATAAGAATATTAAGAAACCGAGGGATATTGGGAGACCAGATATTGAATGGTTTGAGACTGGTTATCACGGAGGGGAAAGATGTTCTTACATAAACTACACTTTGATGCTGGTGCTGGGGAGAAGGCATCCATCTGGACAAGATGCAAGTAGTTTAGTGGAAAGATCACAGACTTTAGGGCCAAATAATTGAAAAATGGATCCAAAATCCCCCATCTAACTGTGGCCTTGAGCAAGTTGCTGAAGTCTGAGTTTCCCTAACTATAAAGTGGGGATAACAATAGTATATTTCTCAACTGAGATAAGGTAAGTAAGGTCCCTGGTAACACACAGTTAGTTTCCTTATGTTCCAACTCTATTCGATATTTTATAAATCTCTAACAAGAATAATGAGGAGTAGTGGATGAGTGGAATTTCATGATTTTTTTAAATCATGGAAACTTAAAATGGTATGCTCCTAAAACAGTATTAGCATTTGTTTTACGCACAAAATTTGAACAAAGGCAATTTTCTCTTTTCATTTTTTAATCATGAAAACGTAAGTTTTGAGTTATGTAAGATTCCTATTAGGCAAAGTCTTTAAGAATGTATTCTGTGCAAAAAATGCAGTCCCCTGGAGTGCTGGTTTTTATTGGTGTCACACTTTGTTTCTACCAAAGGGCCCTAGTGTATACCATCAGCCTCATCAAGATGTGAACACTTGGCCAGAACTTTGGTTTCTAATTTTTTGTGTGACAAAAACAGACACAGATAAACTAAATGTTTGGTGAAGGCTGTGTACCTAATTTGTGCCATTCCTGGGGCTAGAGCCCATCTCTCCTCCCTAAGGCTTGGCACTAATATCTACAAACTCTTCCCTCCTCCTAAAGCTTACAACTGAGCGTGCTGGTTTTTAGCCTACACTGATCCACCCCTGCTGCCTTCCTCCCACTCCACCCACCTTCTCACCTGTGTTATAAAAGACGGTTGATTCAATGGTGCAGTTTTTGAAATAGGTGTCAGTAGATGTAACATCTTCAAAATAACATTCATCAAAGAATGTGTCCTCGAAGAGTACGTGCTTAAAGTACATCTTTGTGAACCTGTGGGAGAGATGTGAGCCTCTGAGTGATTCTTCCAGGAAAAGAAAAGAGACTTGAGACCAAAATGGAAAACATAGAAAGACAAAATAAGAACCGCATGACAAAAGGTGCTGGAACACTACTTTCAACCCAGATTGTTTCTGCATTTCTTAGCTGTTTAGTTAATTAGTGAGAAAGGCCTTCAGAACTACAGAAGTCAGGGTCCAGTCCGGGTCTGTATGGGGTACTGTACACAAATCGGGGATTCCCAAATGAGAGTCCATGGACCCTCCCCCATCAGAATCACAGAAGTGTGAAACAGTGTCAATGAAAATATGGTAACAGTTCACTTTCTCCAAGGCTTTAAAAGCATGCAGATCCCTTGGCTGGTCCTATAAGGTCTGGAAGTAATACAATGGTGAAGAAGGCCTGATAATCTTTAATTTTAAAATTGCCCCAACAAAGATGTAAGGAAATAGGCATTTTCATTTACCCTGGTGGTAGAATTTAATCAAGGCAGCCTCTTTGGGAAGCAATTTTGCAAAATTTAAAATTCACATTCCCTTTCACCTAGGAATACCATCTCTAGGAATTTGTCTTACATATATTTATTCATACAGTTGAAGAGACACATTCACTGGTCTTCATTGTGACATTGGTAATGTTAGTAATGGATTATCGCACACATACAAACAAACATACATACTAGATAGAGGATAGACAAACACCATATAACAGAATACCATGTATGATATAGCCAATGAGGCTGATCTACATGTGTTAATACAGAATAATCTTAAAGATACATTGATAAGTGAAAAACATCAAGATGCAATATAAAGTTCACAGAAGGTGACCATTCATGTAAGAAAAAAGATGGTCTGTGTGGTTCCAATATATAGTCTCCAAATATATGTAGGGAGTTACACAGGAAACAAGTGCTGGGATCTGAGGAGATGCAAAAGGGGATAGAAATGAGATAAACTTCACTTTTACTTTATATCATATTACTTTCTCACTTTAAAAAACTCAGCTAATAAGGGGGTAAGTCATCAAGATGATCATGAGGTCCAGCCACCTTTGGGATCCACTTGCATTATTCCAATTTCTGCATTATCTTACAAAGAACAATATCACATTTAAGAATCTACCTCACATTCATTGACACCTTCTGTTGCTTGGTCAAATTTTGCAGGCTGCAAGCTTTGCTTTTAGCTATATCTCCATTTGTGAGTGATCACAATCTGTTCATTCATTCATTGTCTAGTCACTCATTTATATTTCCCATCTTCAGCAAAAACCTGCTGAGCATGGGACTGGGAGCTATTAATATAGAGTGGAAGCCACCATCCCTGCCCTTTGGTCTAATTGGTGAAAAGAACAGGCATTAGACAACAAGGATACAGTGGGAATCACAGGGACAGAGCGGGCAGAGAGACCTGAGGGTCACTGTTCTTCAGGCTCCAAGATAATTCACTCCCAAACACATATGAAGGCCAGTGTCTATCTTGCCACATAGTGTTCTACTCAGAGATCTAACCTAGAGTCACCTAAAATTAGCTTCTGCAAAACGGCCTCCCACCCAATAAGAAGAGTAAGTACTTGTCAAAGGGAGATGCCCAGACCCTCACATCAGAATGAAGAAGAAGGTTATTATTAAACATATGGCTTCCTAGGTTCCAACCTGACCTTGTAAATGATAATGATCATCGGAGGCAACAGGCCATCATAGTACTTACACAAAGATTTGAAAATCATTGGTCTAGAAAACCAAATTATTTTGAATATTTTTTTCCTTTAGGCCAAATTTGCTACAGGGTTTGAAAAACAGGGGCTTCCAAACATTGTCATGTACGCTTTCATTTCCATAAGAAAAACCAATTGGTAAGCCTTTTATTTCAGGAAGCTGCCTGTGACTTCAAATTTGCATGGCATATGTATTTACTCAGGACAGCTATTCCTGGAGACTGTCTCTGGCCTTTGCCTGTCTTAATATATCCTAATGTTCAATATAATAGTAGGCTGGCGATGCGGCCTTCAGTGATAATTTAATAGTCTTCCAAGGGTGGGTGAGAAAGCAGAGCCATAAATCATAAATGAGTCTGACGCAGGCAGATCTTAAAATGTATCTCCAAGTGGGTTATTAAAAGCCGAAAGGATGAAAGAGATGAACGGAGAAAGGGCCAGCACATGCTTTATGAGTCTTTATATGAATCATCTCTCCTGATATCTTACGTAGTGAACTGGCCCAAGATGCTTAATTCAGGAAAGTTCAGAAGCTGAAGGAAAAATTAGCCAAAGGATAAGTCCTTTCTTTTAAGGACTCAGAGTTATTGAGGGTCCAGGGCCTACGACAGAATGAGGATTACAAGAACTTAATTCAGTTACCTGCATTGGAGGTCCAATGCTTAGTCCAACAAAGGATCTGAATTTGGCCAAAGTCCCAATTATCTAGTCACTATATTTCAGGTTTGATGGTGTCACTCTCCAGAAACTCAGTCTAATTTAAGAGACGATGAAAGAAAACCTAACAATGAAAAAGGTAGTGTGATAAATGTCAAGTTAGAAGTATGAAATCTCATCACCTCCAAGGGGGCTCTTGTGATCCAGTGGAGTAAGGCATAAGGCAACTTGCCTGAAGGACAAGAAAAATTCTAGAAACAAAGACGAGGAAGGTGATTCTAGGCAGAGAGAACAGCAGGTACAGAAGTAGAGGCAGGTTATGTAAACCTGATAGTGGTTTAAATCTTTCATATCCTCTCCCCAAAAGTTCAAAAGTTCCTGTGTTAGGCAATGTTCTGGATTATGAGAGTTGGAACCTCATCAGTGAATTAATCCATTTGATGTTGTAATAATTTGAATGAGCTACTGGGTGTTAACCATGGCCAGATGGCACATGGCTACAGAGAGCAGGTCACTAGTGGCATGATCTTGGACTACATCTGTCCCTGGCTTCTTGCTCTCTCTCATTCTTTCTGTTTCCCAGCTACTCTGAGCTGATAGCTTTCCTCCACCACACCCTTCCTCCATGACGTTCTGCCTCACCTCAGCCCCAGACAAATGAATGCATCTGACCATGGACTGAGACCTCTGAAACCATGAGCCTTACAAAATAAACATTTCCTCCTCTAAGTTGTTCTTGTTGGGTATTTTTATCACAGCTATGAAAAGCTGACTAACACAGTGCCCTTGAGTTGGCTTCTTTTTTAAGTAGAGAATTCACTTTCACATACATTACATCAACTTTCAGGGAGAAAATAATGAATGTGTTTCCTGGAAGTCCACGTCCATTCATATTCTATAAGCCCTGCAGGCACAGTGAAATGAAACAGAGTCCTTTAGGAAAGAGGTAGAGCCCTAGTCTCTCCCTTGTTAATTCCTTAAGCAAAACAAAAGGATCATTCACTTCAGAAAATTCATGCTTGAATCTAATTTCCTTAGAGATTGGAGGAAGCAATCTTGCCTGATACTTTGTATAATTGGTTGTATTCCACACACATTAGGCATCAGGCATTTTCCCCAGGTCTAGTAACATTCTCCAAAAACTAAAGAGACCAACTTTTAGGACTTGACCACTAAGAGATCTTGGGCAAGTCAGCTCTCCTCCCTAGGACTTCGCTTAAGAATCTATAAAACAGGGGCATGGAGATGGCTTTTTCCAGCTTTATTTTCTAATTCTCTAAATAAGGAGCACCCTAACTTCCTCAGGAACCCTGGGGAAGAAGCATATGAATGGACTTAGGAGATGGCTGTCTTTCCCAATACTGAAATATTATTTCATGGAAACCCAGAAAATGTCTATGATAGGAAATCCTAGTGACAGTGTCCATCAAATACTCTAAGGAGATACATTCTTGTGTTTTGATGGATCTACCAGTGAATCCTACTTCCTCTCTCTTTCTCTTACACATAAGGCTATTAAGTACAGAAATCATGATACTTCGTGCTTTCTTTCTCTTAACACATTTACTGCTTTTGAAAATAATGACCAAAGCAGAATTTCAAGAACAGAACACAATGCAAAAAGGAAAACAATAAGATAAAAACAATGACTAAAATAGTAGAACAAATTCACATATATAGTTATATACATCCTAAGTCAAACACTAACTATTGCCAAATTCTGGAAACAATTCCAAATCCCTTCAGCTGATGAATGGAAAATCAACATTCAGGGGCGCATACATATCATGAAATACTGCTCCACAATAAAAACAAATAAACTGCTATTCATGCAGCAACATGGATAAACTCTAAATGTGTTATGCAAAGTAAAAGAAGCAAGTTCCAAAGGCTTCAAAGGGTATGATTACATTTCTATGGCATGCAGAAGGTCACTGGCTGCCAAGGGCTGGGGGTTAAAGAAGGAACAAGTACAAAATGGCACAAGAAAATCTGAGGAGTAATGGCCTTATTCTGTACATTGCTTGTGGTGGTGGTTACACAACCATATGCATTTGTCAAAACTCATAGAACTGTACGAAAAAGTAGGAATTTAATTGTCTGTAAATTAAATATCAATAAAAAAAAAACTCCCAACAAATTTCAGGTAATCATAACAAAATCCAAACCATGTTCACCTACCAACTAGATGGACTCAACATCCTCACACACTGCAAAAGCCTAGCAGAGGAGGAGGGGCACTCACTTCTTCATCTTGATTGTCTGGTACATGCTATCTGCATGCAACCAAAAATTATAAACACATAAAGCAGCAAGAATAAAACAGCGTGATGGCAAGGCACAGTCATTGAAAAAATAAGCCACATGACACAAATACTTGAACTATCAGGTAGGGAATTTAATATAATTATTACTGATATCGTTAATTCTTAAAGGAAAAGATAAATAACATGCATGATTGTTGGGGATTTACAACAGTAATGAAAATTCTAAGAAGAGATAAAATTAAAATGCTGGAAAAATTTTAAATGCAATAACTGAGACTAAGCATGCATTTGATGAACTCATCAGTAGATTCATCATAATTAAGAAAGGAATTACTGAAATTTTAATCCCAG